CTAGAGTGGAGGCCTTATGGTTACAAGAGATCTCAGTCAGAGTATTGCAAGCTGAGCAATTGGAAAAGAATGGCCTGAGCTAACAGTAATGGCATCTTTTTCTTGCACAGGGTCTTTGTGTTGCTGCTCACTGTGGTCTCCATCCTGTGGATCCCACTGGTACAGGCTGGCCAGGGAGGACAGCTCTTTATTTACATCCAGTCGATCAGCTCCTACCTGCAGCCCCCCGTGGCAATGGTGTTTATACTGGGTTGCTTCTGGAAAAGAGCAAATGAAAAGGTAACAACTCTGCTGTGCTCAGCATGGTCACTTCTGTGGCCTCGCTGTCCTCACGAGGGTCCTGCGGTTCAAACCACCACCCCAGGCTGCAGTTCTGCTGCCTCCTGTAGTGTTTGGGAGAATGAATGCACCCAGACCTCTGCACAACCCAAGCAACCATCACCAATACAGGAGGGAGCAATGCCTGCTGTTTTTCAAAGACTCCACTGGCATTTCAGAAGGAGATGACTGCATCGCTCCGTTGCAGGGCGTCCTTCACAAATCTTGAAGCCTGTTAGGGTCTTACTAGCCATCAGCTTGTTTATTACATGGCCTCGTATTATCTGCATCAGGGGGGCTACAGAAGGCATAGTGAGCCCAGAGAGCGAAGAAGCCAGGCCAAATGGCATCAGGAGTCTTAAACCTCCAGTTTCTCCACAAAGACTGGTGCTGGGCTTCGGTTATGCGGAAAGCAGTTGTCAGCCCCCTGGGGTTAAGGCAACTATTAGGATAAAAATATCACTCTTCGAAGTGTTCTAGCATGAGATGTTATCCTTCCCCTCCATACCAAAACTAATGACCCACTTGACCCCCCAGAGGAGAGGTACCAGGCTACTGTAATAGCACTGGCAGACCTAGATAGCAAGAGCAGAAAAGGAAGGAAAAGAAGCCCACCAAAAAACCAGCAAGAAGAAAGCCTGGCCAGCTTGTAGCCTGAGAATGGGGGTACAGCCCTGGATCCCAGGTGGATGCATGCTTCTCGCTCCAATAAAGAATACCCTTCCTTTCCTAGGGCGCGTTCTGGGGCCTGGTGATTGGGCTGCTGCTGGGTGTCATTCGGCTGGTGCTGGACTTCATCTACCCAGAGCCCCAGTGCGGCGAGACCGACCTCCGACCAGGCGTGGTGAAGTACATGCACTATCTCTACTTCTCCATGGTCCTGGCCGTGATCTCCACGCTCACCGTGCTGGTCGTGAGCATGCTCACAGAACCCCCCTCGGAAGAAATGGTGCGTCACCCCTTCAGATTTCTTTTGTTATTTGTAAATGGTTTCCAGGATGCCCCACGCTACGTCCATGGGAATAATGTGGGGATAAAGAATCTGGAAATGGAAGTTTCCATTCATTCTTTATTTATGATCACACCTGCAATAACCTGTAACTGCAATCCCTCCTCTGCTCCAGCACCCTGCTGCCATTTAAGTTTTTGGTCCCATAAATCCAGAGTCCCACCCTGGAAACTGGTCAACAGTAGATGCTACAAAGAGCTGTTCTTAAGTTCAAACATGTGTGTTTAATCCATGACAAATTAGCTTTTTCCCTCTATTTTCCAAGAAATTCCAGCTTCTGGGTCATCTTTATCAACTCTCTTACTAATTTAGTGAGGAACCATTTTTACTCGCAGAAAAAGAGAAATCAAGGGCAGAGAGCACACTTCCTCTGGAACAGGTTTGTGCCAGTTTGACTATTTTCAATAGATATATTGAGGCTACAGAAACACATTAATAGCAGAAAGGAGGGCCAGAGGGACCTTCAGAAATCATACAGCCAACGCATCCTCTTGCTTCAAGACAGGACTAACCTGACAGATTTCTGAAAGACCTGGTGAACTTATTCTTAGAAATCCCCAGAGAGGAAGAATGCCCAGGGAGGGGTGTGAACAATTCGAGAGCTCACCTGCCCTCCCAGGAGCCGTTTCTCCTCATCTCCAACCTGAATCTTTCTAACTTCATGTTGTGCTCATCCCTTCCTGTCCGCCCTATCGTTGATATTGAGAACATTCCTCTTTAATGAGTCTTTTACATATTTGAAGAAAATTATCATGTCTCCCACCTGTCTTCTCTTCTCTCAACAACCCCAGTTCTTTGAATCATTCCTCCCTGGCCACAATTTCCATTCTTTTTGCTCCCTTCACTGACCCGCTCTCAGTCTGCATCCAGTGACGGTCCCGTGCAGAAATGCCGCCTCCTCAGTGAGTGAAGAATGCCATCCTTCAGAGAGTGTAGCTGTAGAAACAGCTATCGTGTTCCAGACAAAACTAAACCCAACATGCTGATGGTAGCCATCGCTTCTGTAGTTACCAGCTGAGCACTTGGCTGTTCACCTGCTCCAACAGAGCAGGAGAACAGATTTCGGCCCCTCTAAGTGTTCTCTCTGCAGGCTACTCTACTGCTGAGGTAGTCCTTTAAACAACCATGAAAGCAGTTTTCTTTAACACCACTCTTCATGCCATCAGATAAGTCGGCTTACCTGGTTCACACGTGGGGATCTACCAGTCAAGAAAGACCTAGCAGTCAGCCCTTCCCCTGATGCTGCAAAAGGAGTGTGTGAAGCTGAGCGTCCAGCTCTCCAGATTGATATAAGCATTGCTTCTGAAAATAGTTCAAATGATAATAAATGTAAGTGCTCCAACATCGTATTCAGTAATACCTACACTTAACAACCCTAGGCATTATGTAAAGGCTTTGAAGACAAGAAACGTTAAAACTACTTCCTCTGGATTTCTGTAACTTCAGGGCATGCTAAAAGCTTTTTACCTGGCAGTGTTACCTAAGCAGAAGTTTAGTTTCTTTTCCATCTCTTGATGGCATTACATATGCTTGAAATCAAGAAGGAGCTGGATGGGATACAGAAAGCCATGCCCATTATCCTGCACTAGCGACTGGTGCTGCTTGCACCTGCTGCAAGGAGAAGTGGTTGAAAAAGGGGAGGGTGGAGGAAAACCACAATTATTTTCATGAAATTCCATTTCTGTTTTTCAGTGATGTTTTCTGATCGACTCTAGCAGCAGGGAGAACCCAGAGCCCTGGGCGGAGTTCTTGACAGATCAGTGAAGGAGGATTTACATTTTTTAAAACTTGTACTTGTCGGTATTAGGTACAAACATGCATAGCAACTCATTCTGCATTTTCCAGCGATGATTATCATCACTTGTTTTTGCCAGGCTTGGGACACTGTTTATGTAACTTTGCAGCTTTTGCTGTGTATTCCTTTGATCTATAAAAAGCTGTTGAAAAGATCAGTAAGTTAATGAGTTACGGTGCAGATCTCCCAACTGCCGGGAGGTCTCACGTTTGTTGTGCACGAGCGCTGTCTTCCCGGCATTTAGTCGTGTACGCCCTAACCCACACCAGAGCTGGGAAAATTCCATTTACACATGTGTGGCGTGGAGTAAACCTAAATAGACTAGAGCATGCCACTTGCAAGAGGAAGCTGATGGGCACCAAGCAGCTACAGCTGAGCTTTTAGGTTTGGTCTACTGTTACCATTTCTTAAACTGTTGAGCACAGCAGAACTAGAGCTCAGAGCTCCAGGGAAGGATGCAATTGGTACTGCAGCCCCAAAAGATGCTAATTGCAGGGCTTCCTACACCTCAGGATAGCTAGTGTATAGAATGCTGGTGCGTTTTTGCATCAAAACCCATTGTACAGGACCACACTGATACATTCCTGGGATTTGTTTGGTTGGCGAGACTTATACCTCACTATTCACTGTCTTTTTAGGTACAACTAACACCAAAGGGAAGTCGAAGCTGATGACCACCTTTCTGTGGCTCTGTGGGATGGAGCGCAAACAGGAAAACGCCGAGAACGCGGCACCAACTAAACCCGAGCCGCTTCCCATGGCTTCCCTGGAGGAGAAACCGCTGGTGAAACACGTCCTGAACATCAACTTGCTATTATGTGTATGTGCTGGGCTCTTTCTCTGGGCCTACTTCGCATAGCAGTTGGCTATTCAATTCCAGATGACATCAACTAATTTTAATTGGTGTAAATAATAATAATTAGCAGAGGGTTAATGTAATTCTTAATGCTTCCTAAATTTTATTTAAGACGACAGACCCTCCTCCCTAATCCTTTCCTTACTTCTAATGAGGGCCTGGCTGTGAAAGGTGCTGAGTGCTCGGCACCATCACCGTCAGACCCGCACTGGCACCAACAAGATGGGTGTAAAGAGCTAAGGCAGGCAGCTAGGCAGAAGAGGTTTGTTTGGTCATTTTAAATATTTAATTACGCTCTTTGGGGTTAGAGCACTGCCTGGAATTCAGGAAATCTGGATTCCCTTCCTATTTATGCCCCTATAACCAGCTACAACCACTTGGTTCCCCTTTGGTTCAGCTCCTCTGCCCTCGAGTAACCCGTCCAAGTGCCCGGTGGAGGGCCAAGGCCTCTTGTCCGTGCTCCGTCGGAGCAGCGAGCCGTGCCCCGCTGGCTCAGCCGTGTCTGTTCGGCTTCCTCCGTCAGCACGGTGGGCAGAAGCGTCTGTGCAATTAGCACCCGCGGACCCGCTGCCACTTCTGGGCGACGTTAGCTCTCGGGGCCTGCCCGCCTCGCAACCTCCCCTCGCAGCGCTGCGATGGCGGGGCCGGCCAGCCGACCGATGCCAGCGCCCAGCGTGGAAACTGCCCCAAAACTGTCACCGGGAGCACCCGAAGGAACCCAACCAGCCCAAACCCACCGGGTACTGCCAGGGAAGAGGTGTCTGGCAGCACCCCCTCGCCTGCTGGGGAGGGCCCGGCACCCCGCAGCCATTCCGCCAGCACTCCCAACGCCAAGACCCTCGACCGCCTTCCATCTGGCTTTGTGTAGCTGCTGATAAACTTATTAAAAGAGCGAGAGCTGCTCCCTGCCTGCCTGGAGTGTGTGGGGCTCTGGGGGGGTGGCCGTGGGGGGGTGGTGGTGGTGGTGCTGCCAGAGGCCTCAGGCTCCACCGGCCCCTCGCAGGCTCCAGGCCCTGGCGGCCATGTCGGAGGAGGCCCCGGCGCTGGGGCGGCCGGATTCACCAGAGCCTGCGGCTCTGGAGCGGCAGAACCTGCTGGCTGTGCAGCGGGAGAGGCTGGGCCGCACCGGGCAGGTGGGAAAGAGGAGGAGGAGGCAGCAGGGCCGGGGTGGTGCGAGTGGGCCTCCCCTCTTCTGGCCTCTCCTCTCCCCACAGTGCCGGTTCCCGCTCCACAGGCTGCTGGTGGTGGCCCGGCTGGGCGAGGGGATGGCGGCGGAGGACGTGGCAGGTGGGTGTCTGCCCCAGCCGTGGGGTGATGGTGGTGGTGGGGGGGACAGGACAGGCAGCCCCACGCTGTCTGGTCTCATTGAGGCAGAGCAGGCGGGCGGCCCCTCGGCCCGGGGGTGGGGGAAGCCGCCCGCTGCGCTCAGCTTTCGGCCTCATCCCTCGTAAGGTGTCTTAGACCGCAGTAAATATTGCGTGGTTGGAGCAAACATTGCCTACGAAGCGATGGAACGGGCGGTATGGGGTGGTGAGATGTAGAAGCCTTGTAGTGGCCCGTGAAATAAGAAAAATATGATTTTGTTAAACTGCATAAAGAGAATCGTCACTTGGGAATCCTTCCTGAGCTAACGAAAACACAACTGCTGGAAACCCTGAGGGAGGGAGAGAGACTTTAAAGTCTGATACTGTTTTTGCAACCAACTTCATGTATGACTTCCTCAGGCAACTAATGTATACCAAGGGTTTTGTCAGATGAGTGAGATACATTAAGACAATTTTATTTTCTTTTAAACACCTGTATCAGCTAGTGCCAATGTCAAGCAGAAGCAAGGATGCAACTACACATGCAAGACTTCTAAGTGCTCTACATTTAGGGCCTTCGGGTGATCTATCTACAGCAACAACTACGTAACTACCTCTTTAAAGAAATGCTAGTGGGAATCAGGCACGTTTAGGAGCTAACATGAATTGCATTGGTGCATATGTCAAGAAGAGATTCCCATGGTAGCAATGCTTTCATGTTTCTTCCGAGTAATAAAAGCACGATCTGTGAAGCTGTTGTCTGCGGCAGCAGAGAGCACGCAGAACACACCACACAACACTAACTAGCTGGAACTATCGCTCTAAACCGTTTGACAAACTGCCAGTTTTTCTTTTGAAACAAGGTTATCACAGAGAATTGTTTGAAAATGCATTAGAAGACCACTCAAGAGAACAAGTCTCAGGTCTGCTACTTCTCTACTCCAGCTATATTCTTCATGTAGTAGAGGTAAGTTACATAAATTCCTAGTGGGATCAAGTAACCTTGATTCATCTTTATACAAATTTGGCTTCTAAGATCCAGCTAACTACAAATGTATAACCATCTCTTACTCCATACATAGGCTTAAAGACCTGAATAATGCTGTGGTGGGTTCAGTAGCTTACCTCTGGGATTTACTCCACCCAGTGCTTCAGATAACTGCCCCAAAACATTATCCTGACAGAATTAGATGACATGTTCTGTTAGACGTAACAGGAACAACATGCGTTGTTCTCAGTGCCTGTGACGCAAAGGAAAAGCCCACGTAGGGCAGCTGATGAATTATTTTTATATTCCCAGATTAGTTTGTAATACGCAGTTCTGTAAAAACTCTACCCTTTCCTCTGCAGTCTTGCAGTAGCACAATCCATCTCATCATCCAAGATTTAGCTTCTCTCCAAAATCAAGGTCATAGGTAAGCGTTTCATATTACAGAAGCGGCAGAATACTTCCTTAAGGTTAAAACGAACATTGGCTACGATTATATCAAGCTTTTATTCCCCCACTGAGTACCTGTTGACCACAGAGGAGCTGACATTTTCCAGTTACCATGACCCATCTTTTCCGGATGCAGTCAGCAGCTGACCAGCAGGCTCTTACCCAGTCCTCTGCATTGGAATCCATCTTCAAGACACGAAGTCTTCAACTGTCAACAGCCTTCATAGGTTTCAGTAAATAGGAAAATCCCTTCCTTAAGAATCAGCTGTATAATTTCTGTACCCTGCTTTGTAAACATTTGTAAATGTATGTACTGGAATTCCAGAAATTATCTTTAGAGCATTAGTCACTGCCAGCCTGCTATTTGCCCTTTCAACACTACCTAACCAGTCCCACATAGCTCAGCCAATTACTGTCTTTAGCTTAACCCAAGTGTCTCTCTAGGGCCCCATACTAATTTACTGAAATCCAGGTTCATTAAAGCTGCATCATTTTCTTTGCTGTGAATGGAATTCCTATCAAAGCAAGCCACCACCACACACCCACATTTGCTTATTAAATCCCTTCTGTTCTTTTGCTTGTTTCTCACCCTCACATCTGACCAGTCCACCCAAGACCCTTGCACAGTATGTCAGAGTAGAATTAGAAAAGGTTTCCACTGGCTGGGGTGTGAGGGGTGCACCATGCTGTATGCATAAAATGCTCTAAGCATAGCTCTAGGAATGCAAACAACTCACTGCTTAGTTTATGAAACTTGACCATCTGATAAAAACTCCTTGCTGTACTTTAAGATGGAATTCACTGTCTTTCAATGCAGTGCTTTACTCCAGGAAATTAAAGTTTTAGTGGTGGCACATAACATCCCCACCAGACTGTTCCCAGACTGGTACGTGGCAATAGCAACGGCTCCCGTGACATGTCCACAAGACTCAATGCAATCACAGTCTACAGCAGAGGTGGTTGCAGAGTGCCTCACCCTCCTACTCCAACTCACAGCCTGCATTCAAAGTTTTGAGGTAAGCTTCAAATAACTGGGCTGGAAGAAATTTTCCTAGTTTACCCCCCAAAAATCCCCCCAAACCACACAAGCAAGCAGCCGCACTTACCTTTCAAGCAGTGTTTACAAGCATAAACACCTGAGCAGATTCCAAAAGCATGTTAAAGCATTACAAAACCTATTTTATTCCAAGTTTCTTTCTAGACCTCTGTAGGGTTATTTTGTGCAGCCATTTGATTAACTAATCAATAGCCCCAACATAGCTTAAAGCCAGGTGAAAGGCACTCATGAAGCACACACCTTACATTGCCTCCTCCCCTGCCCATTGCTCTGCACTCCTGGGAGCAGAGAATACAGCTCGGTTTGGTAAACAAGGGAGTAACTCCAGCCCTGCTGTTCTGGCCAAATTTCCTCAACTTTAACTGCATCATAGCCCTGTGCTCTTATTGCAACTGTATTGAAATATGCTCTTTACTATCAAGGATGACAGCGAGGATACCAGTGAGAGTGTACACACTCTTGCACCTGAGCTGCTAATCCCAGCAGAGACAATTAACTATTTGTGTAATGCTGAAGAATGTGCAAGTCCAGAAGATTTTCTGAGAATTTATTTAAGTCCTTCACAACCTGCCCTGGATTCAGGTAAACTGCATACAGTTTGAGAGATGAACATCAAATTTAGGAGCCAAAAATTCTAGTTGTGTTACTAACACTGAATTCTGAGTTACAAGAGTTTGTTACAGTGCTAGTGTAGTGACAGAGGAAAGCAGGACTACACCCCACTAACAGGGCTCATCTTCCCTGTTAAGAGATGTCTGAACAGGAAACAACTGGGCAGCCACTAGGATTTCAAACTGGGGCATGGAGAAGATAGCAACTAAAATAAATTTATCATGTCACCAAGAGCAATGTGTCTTGTCAAGGCCTTCACGAAATGCAGTTTTATTTTGTAGTTAAGCCTGAGGTCTAGTTTAATCACTTCAATAAAATGTATTATGGAGTATTAAGGAATTTATAGTTTAAGTAAATTAATTCAACTAGTTATATGAATGTGACCTCAACTGACTGGTTTCCCCTCCCTCCCTCTCATTCACAGAAACAGTATGGCCTGTTCCATCTCATTTCTCTGCATGATAGAGGCTGTATCCAGTGTTCGTCTTTGCAGCTAGGCTCATTTGTGTTTAACATGAATCTACACATTAAAGAATAGATGCATATTCATTCCCAGTACGCTACATTCCTTAAAAGAAGAACAAGCTGAGCAGCCAGTGACTCATGAGCTACAAAGCCCAGGGAATGACTGTAAAACCTTCAGTGTCCACTGGAAGCAAATGTTACTCACAAACTTGAATAAAGATGCCTTAAGTTGACAAAAGACAATCTTTAATTTTATAAATGTTCACCCAACTGTCGAATCCAAACAGGTGTTTCAAAGTTCTTTCAAAATTCAACTGTTTTCAATAAAAGCACAAAAACCACTTCCACAGTTTCATCTTGAAACAGTTGCAAGTTTCACATAAACAAAAGCAGGCTTGGTTAATACAAATAACTATGAAATAAGTATTAAGTACTGATCATTAAGTAGCAATGAAATGATTAAAGATACAGTAAGTTTCCTTCTACAGTATGACAGTCCTTCAAGGCACTAGAATACATCCACAGTTTTGACAAGGTGACTGATAACCAGCAGTCACCACCAGCACTCTGGCATTTTTTGGTTCATGTTTTAAAAAGAATCTGCAGCAAATCAGTGAGGGAATGTCTCTTGCAAGGCATCTCTTTGTAACGTCTAAGAACTAGAAATAAAAGTCTAACCGTGACATTAAAAAGATTATTTCCATAATACATGCACTTTAAATAACTAATGTTCTGCTTCTTATTCTTTTGGAATTTCTGCTAATACCATCTGTATTAGCAGCAATTATGCTTCCTATGCAAGTTTCTGCAGTAATTAATTCCTTCCATCCAAGATTTTGAAAACCATTGTTGAGACACAGATCATTAAACTTCTTCTGAATGGCTAAATCACTTCCTCCGTGATGCACAAGTCACAACTCTACAGAGTTTTGCCATATCGTCAAAAGAAGCTTTTCACTGTTAGCTCTGTTAGCTTTCCCACCAGGAGAGGAACCTTTAAAAAGTTTGAGAGTTTCCATTACAGAGCAGTGCTTTCCGTATCATTGTCAATATCAAGCATGAGGTGGTTGTGCAGTTCTTTGCTTGCTGTCTCTGTCAGAAGCTCTGAAGAAGGGTTTTGAAGTGGTTCTTGAATACTGGAATTAGAGTCTGCACAAAAAATGGAATAGCAAGTTTAGCAGTCTGGACAGTGACATCTCATTCACTAGTGTATTTCTGGTGCATTTCCTTAGAAAGAAAAGGGAAGGGAAAGGAAAGATCAACGAAGGCTTTTCAAACAGAGGGCTGGCACATATGTGCACACATGGACACAAACAGGCTAAGCCAAACTAAAAAAAGCTCATGAGCTGCTTCTCCTACATACCTTTTTTTAGTCTTGTACATAATAAAAGAAAAGCATTTCTTTCTGAAGAATGGAAGACAGCAAGTACGATTTAGTATCAGATTCTTCAATGCCCCTTAAGAGTGGTACATTACTCCAGACTTTCACATCAAAACACAATGGTCACTCAGCAAAAAAATTTGGCACCTAAATCATCAGCCAGGTAACCACCACCTATGACTTTTAGAAGCAATAGGAACATGTATGGTGTCAAAAGGAGGCACTGTCACAAGAAAATGAAGAAATTATTTAAACCAAATGCAGATTAAACCCCTTTCCTGTGTATAACAGGGAACGTCATGTTCTTTGCCTCTTCTGAGGGGAGGAGAGTTTTTTTCAAGCCGAGGTGTCCAGGGAGGACCTCAAAATGTTGCGTTTCTGGTGACTGACTGCCCTGGTAGTTAGCCAACCAGAAAAATCTGTAACAGTTCAAAAAATGTAACTGAAAATACTAAGTTAGTATTTTGGAAAGCTAATTTATAATATGCTGTGACATCACTTACTGCAATCCAGCAACTGTTTCAAACAGAAAATAATTTAGATCACTTAAATCAATAAAGAATCCAAATAAATGCCTTGCTTTTAAACACAGGTGGCATAGACAGGCATCCTATAAAGACTTTGACTCATATCTCAGGCATGAAGTCTTAAATTTAGTCCAAAAGTTACTTCATAAATGTTCAAGTTGAAAGTTTCTGAGCTAAATGACATGGAAGAGGCGAAAGCAGACGCAGAACTGAAGTCGGAGCGCAGCCTCCCCTGCTTTTCTTTCAGCCTGTTACTGGAGTGCCAGCCAGCCTTATGCAAAGTGCAGTACATTTGTATTCAGTGATACTGTTAATATAGTAGCTGGAACTCCATCATATTATGGCCTGACACTGATTAAGCAGTTAAGTGTTAACATCTGTATTGCTGCAACTTTCCCAAAAACGTGATTCCAGGACTATTAATGTTTTCTTGCGAGGCGTGAACTATACATTTTCTCCCCAGTCTTGTATCAGTCTTGGGGAATACCATATTCTGCTAAGATAGCATTTCAGTGGTAAATGAAGTCATCCCGAAGGCACAGAACAAATCATCAGTACTGTTATGACTTGTTAAACACCATCACCTGGGGGAATCTTTTAAATAGATTCTCTCCCCAGCCCTCATTCTCATTTTGAAGGTCAGTGTCCTGGTTGCTGGGCTATACCCAGTGAACAGTGCCTTGTAGCACCTACAAGACCATCACTGTTCAACACACCTTTGATGGCAATGAAGAAATAATTACTGCAGCTACTTTAAAACCAAACCTTTTCACTTAGCCTCACATTCATGTGTTTAAATTAAGTGCCCAATCCATGAAACCAAGTTTCACAACATCAGCAGCTCTCCTTTATCCCCACTATACTGTATAACTGCTGTTTCTACAAAAGATGAAGATTTAAGTACTTTTAAAGTCAGCTGACATAAACTTTAGATTTTTTTAAAGTCATTTTTACTATTGTTAACAGAAGCAACATTACATAAAAGAATAAACTGCAACCGTGTGAGTTCCCAAATTCTTCTTGCATTTTTCTCTTACTCAAAATGTTCCATGCTGAGCTTGACCTCAGAAGAGATAAGCACAGAACCAAGTAGAGAGGCACTGCATTCTCCCTCATATCTACCAGTACCTGCTGTTTCCTTTTGAACTTTCATTTGAAGTATGGTTCAAAAGGTGTACTTCAACTTTAGATGCAGGCACACAAGTTCTCCCTACCACAACTGCACATTGAAGGATGAATCAGAAAAGGAGGTAACTGAAAGTGTGAGGTGACACAGGAAAGGAGTATTTGTGACAAACAATGGTACAGCTACGTCAAATACAAAATGAACCTTTGTATAAAACATGTGGATTTCTAGATAGGATTTTCTGTACGTGGAAAAAGTACAATGTGAAACTGGCCAGTCAAAACATGAACAACTTTACAACATTCTAATCTCCAATACTTTTAGTACGTTAATGTAAGAGCGAGCATCAAACAGCCATTCTTTTTGCATGCCACGCTAATGATAATGCAAGCAAGCAGTGTTATTTGTGACAGGTTAGTAGTGGGCATTAGCACACACATGATTATGAATTAGCAACATTTTTGGCCAATCATATGCCTTTTCCTTACCATTGAACTTTCCAATACAGTTCCTACTGAATGCAGGTCAAACATCTAGATTATTTAATAAAATTTTTGATTAGAATATTCTTTTCTAGGGCTTATTACTTTAATACCATAAATAGAATTTGAGGCATTACTACAGTCCAGTACATGGACAAAGGAATGCAACAGTATCCTGAAAAGAATTCAGAATTCCTGTTCTGATATAACAAAGTTTGCTGGTAGCTTAATTTTGGCTTCCATTATTCCCATCTGTCTTCCCTCACTCCACTATTTAAGGTTAAAATTAAAACCAGCTATTTCACATTGTGAATTAGGTAAGTCAGTCTATAAGTGCTTATATGTGCACGTGTAAATGTTAGAGCAGATACTCTTATGTAATATGCAGTGGTGTTAATTCAGAACAAATATTAATCCTTTAAAAAAAAAGGTCTAGAAAGGTGGATGATCCTGTACTGAGTGTACTGCTATAGGTAAGTCTGAGTATCATTTCAACTGTGCCCCAAATGTTGGTGGTTTTTTTTTTTTTTGCAAAACGTAATAGATTTTCTAAGTTCCTTTATCAGTTTTGCTAGAGAATCCTTCATCAAAAGGCTTCCTTGCCTCGTTTTCCTGCATGGCAGCTTTCATACTGTTGTTTACTGTACACAACTTAAGTGCCCAATTTGCTATCGTTTGCACTTGAAAGGAACAATATTAAGTCTCTCCAGTTTTAACACTGTTTCAACACTGTTGATTTCAATATTTTTTTAATATTTACTCAGACTACAGGACAGTTGTGTACCTCTATTATGCCTGTAACTTAGCTGAAAAGTAGTCAGCACTAAGTTGTAATTCACAGTCCATATCCAGCCTCAGTTCTGCCAATCACTCCCTTATGGCAGATGCTTGCCTTGGGTAACTTCAACTCCCCCACTAACAAAGCAGCCCCCTGCATACCAGCTGGGTATTATTTAGAAGGCAAGTATTTCTCCAGTTCCATTGGGGTAAAACAAACCCTGCTTGTCTG